TAGGGCTGCCAGAGAGGTCAGCAGGGGCCAGGGCATTGCTTAGGCTCCCTGGACGCAGCTTGACATAGCCATGCCCCCATCCCACCTGGCATTCCTCTACAATAGCCAGGAGAAGCCCCGCCCAGCGCCTGCTGGGAGTCCTGGGGCAGGGGCCCTCTGCTCTGTGCAAATCTTGGGGCAGATGGACATGTGTGTCTATGTGTCCAACAAAGGGAAAAGTCAGCTCCAGTCATAGGAAGCTTATCCACGGTTCCCTGGGGCCAGGATGGACCTCGAGAGGCTGGAGGCAACTTTTTGAGGTGATAGGAATGTTCTAGATGTTAACCGCCAGGTGGTCACATGGACCTGTACGTCTGTCAGAGCCCACTTAATTGTACGCTCCGTCTGTGACGTATCCTGTTACACTTACTGTCTTGTTCATTAGCAACACAAATCTTAGGACAGATTGGAAGCAATGGCCAACGAGGCACTGGTGAGCTTCCTTTTAAGGACTCCTGTTCAGCCACAACGAAGATGAAGTAGATCACAAGGACCGCAAACGCCTTAGGAAAACAGGGACGTCAGGGTGGGCTCTCACCATGAGCACAGCAGCCCGCCGGGGCGGGGCCTGCTCTGTGCAGGGGAGCCCCTCCCCCTGGGAAGGCCCTGAAGTCTCTCTCCCCTCGCCAGGCTGTATCGGGACAGCCTGCGGAGCACAGAAGGAACAATCGCGATGGCGCATGAGGCCTGGAACTTGGGAGGAATCAAGCGGGCAGGTGGGCAGAAAGCCGATCTTGTCTTTATTTACACTTGGATGTTTTGCTCGTCATGGACTTTTTTGCACAAATGTTGATTTTTTCAAAATATTGCGTTAAAGTGCATTGCTTCTTAAATTGTCTGGGCACCGCCTTCTACCCTGCAGCCAGGAGAACACCTTTCTCGCTCGCCTTTGCCCAGCCTCAGGGGAAAGCAGGAAGAATAATCCAGCCCCAGTCCAGGGAACTAAGAGTGCAGGGCCAGACTCCTCTGAGGACCTGGTGGGCAGAGGTGCGGCGAGACCCAGACCTGCCCCGCCTGGGGCTGGGCCGAGCACTGGGCTTGGTCGGAAGGAGGAGAAGGTCTCTGGGTGACACCCCTCTGGACTGTGGGCTCAGTGTCTCCGGCCCGGCCTCTGGGCAGCTGTCTGTGTCCTGGCCGTCCTCGGGCCTGCAGGGAATCCACACGTGGAGCTCTGAGTGGTGGAGAAGCATGGAAGCGGGGTGCAATGGCCGAAGGGCACTCGGGGCTCCAAGAGGGAGTCGGGAAGGTAACTCAGAAGGGAAAGAGGAGCATCCATTGCCTGAGCTGGGAACTGGGC